AAAATATATAACATTCTTAAGCACAATAAACTTTTTTAAGATTTTATAATCTCCACGCTAACTAATCTAGCATTATAATTTAACCATTAATTTTTTGGGAATGTTTATACATTTAAATTATATTTCATAATTTGTATTTTCCCACATTTTTTCTTCTCTCTGATAATTTTTATCTTTAATAGCTTTATTTAACCAAAAAACTGTATTTTTTGCACTTATTTTACCTGTTTCGTTTAGGTGGAACATCTAGTTATGCGTGCTCTTTCTTTAGGCCTAATGAAGGGTCGCATTGATGAGGTCCGCCAAGTTGTTACGCTAACCTGGCTTCAGCCAAGAGTTCTTGATAGAGAACAGGTAGATTTAGATATAGGTCTTTAACTATGTTTTTCATTCGTTTTAAACTAGCTTTTACGAATATAAAAAAAATATTTGCCCTTGGAGGGCGAAGGACAGATATTAATACCAGATTAATGTCTCTATTTCATTACTCATGTGTTAATAATCATACATTTTTAATCCTGTTGTTAAAGCATTCACATCTCACTCTTTTAATATTATTTTCGTTTAGATTGCTAGTATGCACTCACGTTTGAAAGCTTGGTCCCAGACTGTCACTAAAGTGCGAGATCTCGTTGAAGTCGATGCCAAAGCCATATTGGCCTGATTTGTGAAACGTGAACGAACAACTATCCTTCGTCTCTTGAACTTTCGGATTTTGCTCCAAACCACTTAAGCTGAATCCATATCTTGTTTATATACTCCAAATAGACATCTATTTGTTATAATTACTCTTTTTACATTTGAATAGTATTTATCTGTTACTAGCTAATTCGAGTAAGTGGGCGTTGTTGGATATTCTTCCGAATCATAGTGTACTTAACCTCCTATTATAAAGTAAATACTTAATTTATTACGGAAGCTAACTATCCTTAATTAAAAGGTATGAAGACGAAAATGATGCCGCCTTTTGTGTGGTCGCAGTCTCCTTTCGTTTTATAGAAGTTTTTTGACCTTGTTTTCGCAACTTGGTC